AATTATATATTTATTAAAATATAAGCTGATACCTATCTCTTTGTTTCTTATGACTTAACATATAAAAGCAATTAAAATTTATATTACCAAAATTAATCTATTTAGTCTTCTTTAAATATAGCATATACAGTAATTATCAAAATAATACAAAAATTTATAAAGGTGCCACTTTTATTATTTTCTGTAATAAAGATTTACTATTTCATCTTTTTTCGATTTATTTGACGTACAAAATCACACAGAGCAATGAACCATTTTAAAACGAATTTTTTAAAACTGAACAATATCTGGATATATAGATTTAAAACATTTAAAATTTCGAAAATACTATCATAACAAGCACATCTTTGCAATAGTATTAGTATTGATCACTTGATTGAACATATGTGGCATTGACACATATGTTCAGAGCTAATGACTAGGCTGTTTTTATTGTAGGCTGTGCTAGAAGTACAGTTCACAGGAATAATAGAGGCTTTTCTTTTATCTAGTTCTTGTAAAAGTTGAGCGGAAGTGTAAGAAGTTAATGAAAGTGGAGACATACCTTGAATTACTTTTAGGTTGATCGCAATTTTTGCGAGCCAAGCGGGATGTTGTTCCTTCTTAACGTATTCTTAACTCCCCAGAAAATTACAGCCGAAAAAGTGTTGAGCCGATTTGCAAAAAAGAAATAAAAAGCTGAAGCTAATTTAATTGAGTGTAGTGTACCCACTGAAAGTCTAGATCAGGCATAGCTAACATACGGCCCGCGATTAATCTTTGAATATTGGACTTAACTTTAAATAATTGCTAGAATGGATCAGCGATAATCTATATATATATATATAATTGCTTGTCCTGATTGAATGACTCACTCACTGATTCATCATCGCCCAGAGCAAACCGCTGAACCTAAAGAGGTGAAATTTGGTACGCAGTTAGGACACGTCAAAACGCACACTAAGAAGGGATTTTTCGAAATTCCCCCTCGGGGGGAGAGGGAGAGGATTTAGTCTTCGGACATTGTTATAAATATTTTTATCTATTTCGATTTTAAAAATGTTCCAACCGTTTTAAATTTGAATTTGTTATTGCATATTGGTACGATTATAGAACGATTGTAAACATAAAATTGATCAAATTGAAAACAGTTCTTTTGATTCTTGGCAATTCTCATCATTCTCAGCGGTAGGTGTTATATAACAATTACTATGGTTGTTGAAATACTGAATATAAATGGGGTTTGCTTGCAATATCCTCGCGGGCGAAGTCGCGGGTAACAGCTAGTTCCTTATATCCTCACAATGCGAACTGATAGGAAAGTTGAGAAATTCTGACCCCTAAAAATAAAAGTTTTTAGGTTTTCTGTAATCTCTATGTACAGTTTAGTCTCTACGGGGTGACGCCAAAATAAGATCTCGCGTCACCTGAAAATCTTGCTAGGGCCACCTCCTGGTTTGGCCAGTGAAAAATTTTCTTTCCAATTCCGCCCGGGGGAAAAATTGTTGGCCACCCCTGGTCTAGATCTAGATTAAAGACGGTGAACTACATTAAAGAATGGTAAAAAAAATAATTGATTGGTTAAATTTTGTTTAAGGCATTGCTAGAGTTTGATATTAATGTTACGAGAACGTATGATTAAAGTAAGTTTCATATTATATGTGTGTTAAGTTATTGTCGATTCCTATGGAAATTTCATTTTAATGAACAATAATTTGAAATAATTCAATTTTGTGTCAGGCTGGCCTCTACTAGGCCCCCCATAACAAAACTCTGGCTACGCCAATGCAGATATGGTCCCGTCCCCTCGATCTATAATCACCAAAATTTAATAGCATCAATCCCCCTAATACAGAAACCATCCTGCAAAATTTCAAAAATTTTCGACAAAAAGCATGGGCGTTATTAAGCTACAAAGAGGACGAACAAAATCATTCTCCCTGCGCACACGAACATCCGTACGTAAAAAAAGAAATTCGTTTTTTCTGGTTTTTTTGCATTTGTAGGCGTTTCAGGACCCAGAATACAAAAATATAAAAATCTTGGGATTATTTTTCGACCGATCACCATACTTTTTGCCTGTTATATATAATTTGGCGTAATAAATGTTAGTTTCGCTGCCATCTTCCAAAACATCTCGACGATATTCTTCATTTGTCAATGGCCAGATGTCTTAATCGCTTGAAACCTTCTGTATATTGTTATAGAATAAGATAACTGTTCATATGAAATCATCTGTTTATGTCGAAATCGTGTTGTATAGCCTGAGTATCGCATTATACAAGGATTACTATAATTTGTGAACTGCGTCGTACCACGTTATACAAGGATTACCTATAATTGCTGTTTTAATTAATAGTTAACAGTCGAATCGGGTTATGTTGCGATCCTGTGTTTCGATGTCGTCGTAGAAATCGGGATCTTGAATATCATCTACTGTAATTCAAATTTACCCTTTCCAATTCGAGTTTTCCTAATTACCCTCTCTCGACCTAAGAACCCGATTGCCGAATGTTGAACGTGAGAAAGTCACAATATTTATAATTTATTTCCAAAAATGTCTCTTCCAAGGTTCACGGATAAAGTGCTGTCCAACTCTAGACAATTTGAAGAGTAGAATTTTAATTAAACTCCTTACTTGCCGCTCTTAACTACATTAACCTACACTTTAACAGTACTTCATGTTTCTCATACTTAATCGAGGAAAATACATTAACATTTTTAAAGGTATTGATTAAAAACAAGCTATTTATTCAGGAATTTTATCATGTAAAAAACACCGGCAATTTTCAATTGTATTTCGTAATTTAAAAATAAAAATTTTAGATTAATAAAACATTTAAATATTAAATTTAGATTAATCAGATTCAAATCTTTGCACTTAGTTATATTTTTTTAATTATTTACTTTCGAAACGTTACAATTTTCATATTCACAAATTAGAATTTTCTTTACTTTTAAGAAAACATCTTCAAAAACAAAAATGCGGCAGTGATAATGCCAATAATTACAATAACATCCCCGTCACCTTTAAATAAAATTTTAGAAATAATTTGACTTTAACTTCACCTTCGAAGTATTCAAATTCAATCATCAACAAATTACTTTCTTTCCAAATGGATTATAATCTTGTTACAAAATTAAACAGACAAATATATTTTTTTTTTTTTGTAATTTTTTTCCTGGCACTAAATTAAAGTACAATAATGAGTGGCTATTCATATAAATTTTTTTCCTTTCAATTACATATTTACATATTTACAGTGTTCAATTCACTAACACGACATTGAGAACAGTCTGGAAATTACCTTCCAGACTACAAAATGTAGTATAACAAATATTGACTTTTGTCAATGATAAATACTATCACAGCTAGTAATGTATGCAATACAACATTACTCAGGCACTGAATTTTACAGCACGCTAATGAGATCATTTAACAAATATGTCCATGTTATTTAGCAATCATGTCTTTGAGCAACGACATGGAGAAGTCTTTAAATTAGTTATGAACAGATGATATGTTTCCTAAATGATCGAAATTAAATTCATTTAACAGAAAAAAAATCGAGCAAAAATTAAATACTACGTAACAATTAAATCAAAATGAACGAAAATATCGCTGGAATACATAAATTACAAAAACAATGTACAGTACAGTACGACAAACAAATGTAAATTGTTTCTCGTAATGGAGTATTAGCATATAAATCACAGTTTTAAAATGAAGCAATTTCTTGTCAGAAATCTTCGTTTTCTATATCATTAAATTCTTGTAGCATGGACAGAGCGAACTGCATGCGATCGTATATGCTCGGACTACACCCATGATGAGATATATCTTCTAGTGAAAAAGTCATGGAGTGGCGATCTTCGTTAATATATGTTACTAGTCCATCATTTTTCTCTCCACTTAAAACAATTTTGGTATGATCTTTGGAAAAATTTACCTATTCAAAAATATTTTGTTAATATTCTATATGGATGAAAACAACTTTAAATATGTGGAATACTTTTAAAAATTACCTGCAAGGTTCCATTGGTGAGTTGCATGACGATAACACGCGAAGTTCTTACCCATTGTTTTATTTGAGGAATAACACCCTTTCTCTTAGCTATTTCGCCATGTTGCATTTCTCCACCCTAAATCGAAAATTTTTCAATTTTGAACATTTTATTAACAGAAAATACTTAATGTAAATTTAATATTTCAACTAAGATATTTTGGTAACAAGACTAAAATTTCAAATATTAAGCTAAAGTAAATAGTTCTTAAGAAAAGAATAGAAAAGTATATAAATAATTTTAATAAAATGTTAACGTTTTATTGTATAAATAACTAAAATTTTAAAATTAATTTCCTAGAATTTTTAATGTAAATATTTAAGTGTAAAAATTATTTGAATATATCAAATACCACCATTTCTTAATACAAATACATTCAAATTTTAATTGGTTTAATTGGGAAATTATTATTATTATTAGCTTAATTGCTTGCCTTGTGCTCAGTGAAAGGTATTTAATTTATTAATTACTAATATTTATTAAAATCATTAAACTGTAGTAGCGACCACGGAAACTAAGGAAATTTGTGCTACGAAACTGTTCCGATTGTTGGAATTAGCATGACATTTTTGTAACACTGCATTCAGAGACCACTTCACAAAGTGTAGTCTGCCGATATATTCACTGGATATGCAATCTCACACCATTAGATTTTCCAGAAACTTTACTGTCTGCTTGAAGTAGACTAATCCCTGGGCCTCGTCTTTTCTACGCCTAATAGGGTTTTCCATCAGATCTGTGAAGATTAAATTTGCATTCAACCGAAAACTTAACAGAATCCCACATCAACGCTTCAGTTCTCATGCAGTTTAGTCCAGATAAGCTGCTGTCTGCTCATTTTATTCGTCAGTAATGGTTCCGTATGTGGGCGGTAGGATTTTAAATCTATGTTGCACGGGCATCATCACAATCATCACACAGTTCTTGTAATCTCTTTTATGCCTGTAATCTTCTCATTTTACTTTCAGTTCGGAAGAACTAGCAGTACACTCTCGCAACCTGAGGCGCGAGGCGCTTCAGCAGCCTATTTCCCACAGTGCAGCGTAGACATGTTTACAGCATGATTCATCTTTTCTTTCAATGTTGTCCTCTTCATGTCAGTACTTCATGTTTCTCATACTTAATCGAGGAAAATACATTAACATTTTTAAAGATATTGATTAAAAACAAGCTATTTATTCAGGAATTTTATCATGTTAAAAACACCGGCAATTTTCAATTGTATTTCGTAATTTAAAAATAAAAATTTTAGATTAATAAAACATTTAAATATTAAATTTAGATTAATCAGATTCAAATCTTTGCACTTAGTTATATTTTTTTAATTATTTACTTTCGAAACGTTACAATTTTCATATTCACAAATTAGAATTTTCTTTACTTTTAAGAAAACATCTTCAAAAACAAAAATGCGGCAGTGATAATGCCAATAATTACAATAACATCCCCGTCACCTTTAAATAAAATTTTAGAAATAATTTGACTTTAACTTCACCTTCGAAGTATTCAAATTCAATCATCAACAAATTACTTTCTTTCCAAATGGATTATAATCTTGTTACAAAATTAAACAGACAAATATATTTTTTTTTTTTTGTAATTTTTTTCCTGGCACTAAATTAAAGTACAATAATGAGTGGCTATTCATATAAATTTTTTTCCTTTCAATTACATATTTACATATTTACAGTGTTCAATTCACTAACACGACATTGAGAACAGTCTGGAAATTACCTTCCAGACTACAAAATGTAGTATAACAAATATTGACTTTTGTCAATGATAAATACTATCACAGCTAGTAATGTATGCAATACAACATTACTCAGGCACTGAATTTTACAGCACGCTAATGAGATCATTTAACAAATATGTCCATGTTATTTAGCAATCATGTCTTTGAGCAACGACATGGAGAAGTCTTTAAATTAGTTATGAACAGATGATATGTTTCCTAAATGATCGAAATTAAATTCATTTAACAGAAAAAAAATCGAGCAAAAATTAAATACTACGTAACAATTAAATCAAAATGAACGAAAATATCGCTGGAATACATAAATTACAAAAACAATGTACAGTACAGTACGACAAACAAATGTAAATTGTTTCTCGTAATGGAGTATTAGCATATAAATCACAGTTTTAAAATGAAGCAATTTCTTGTCNCACGAGCGAAAGCCTGGGGCCGTTCGGGCTACCAAGCTGTCTCGAATTTGTGAAATCATAACTGTGACTTATTCCGACGTCTTATGTGTCTCTTTTCTCCGTTATCACCAGGCTATGAGTCACGTAATTGTAAAATTGGAAATCTATGACGGATCGAAAAGTGACGAATCGAAAGTATCGTGAGCGCGTATTATGATGTATGCATAGGCTTACGTGAACTAGAGCGATAGAGGAAAGAGAAAAGCAAAGACGAGCGCTTAAAAAGAAGAATAGGCAGGGTCAGACCCTCAGATGTGCGACGATTCTCGAACGAATAGGTGTGTACGTGTGTAAGTGTGCTGATCTTTGTAATTATAAATTGTGAATACATGTGACTAATATTCTTTTCTTTTTTATTTTGTGCATGTTATAAGTTATAAATAAATATAAACAAACAACACTAACCCGAAAACATTAAATCTAAATACCAAAATGTTTAATTTACTGTGTTTTTGTTATTTCTTACTCCTGTTTTTAGGTATTCGGCCGAATAGTGATTAAATATTCGGTATTCGGCCGAATAGCGAAAAATAGGCCGAATACCGAATAGTAACTGAATATTCGTTACATCACTTCTGATAATTCATACACTGCGCTATTTTACTGGAAGATAAGTCTTCAGCATTCAAAGCAACAATGAGAATACGGATTTCTTTACATGATGTTAATTATCTATTGATATATATCTTTCTGTTTTGCTTGCAAAAGTGCACCAAATACACGTGTTTTTATACCAATAGACAATACAATTGAAAAAATGCTGTGGTACACTGCCAGCCAATGAAAAGCGTGTTTCATGTTTATGGTGTCATGGATGTAATCTTTATGGTTTCTTGCAGCCAATATGTTGATTTTTTTAAAATTAAAGTATTTATGGGATTAGAGTTTGATCCATGGCTGCTGCTGTACTATGAAATTTCTTATAAAGATTGACACAGCATTTACTGAAAATTTTTAAAATCATAATTTACAAGATATATTATTTTAAAAACATTGATTTCTCAGAATTTCTTAAAATCAAATAGCATGTTAAAGTTCTGAAGTTTTAAAACTTTAAAATTCTGTATACTTCCTAAAGTATTCAAAGTGTATGAAATTCATAGTTTCAAAAATAGTTTCATAGTTTTTAATTTTTTATATGAGCATGTAAGAGGGTTCTTTACAGAATCATATAGTGCATAAGTTTTTACATGTTGTAATTTATAACGAAAATAAAATAAAACACTACTATTTATTATTACATCTTTAGAAACTTAATTTTCTATAATACAATTATACAAATTAATGACAAAACTTTTTTGTTGATATATGTGATAACTCATATAACATTTCTCTTACCAGGCTAAAAATTTGAAAAATTCAGTATATTAGCCAAATTTTATTGCTAAATATAATTTTTGCGTAAAGACTGAAATTTTTCATTTTATGTACTGTACAGTACATTCATTTTAGTAATTTAATAAATTACAGTTAAATAAAAAGATATTATAGTCATTATAGTTTTGATATAACTATAATGACTAATATCTTTTTATATAAGTTATTACAGGCATTATAGTTATATAAAAAGATATTATAGTTTTATGGTTTAGCATTACAGAATCGATTTGGTAAGAAAAATTAGGAACAAGAAGACTCTTGATTTCCTTGTTATTGTAATTTGAAATTAAGAAAATTCTACAAAGAATTCCATGCTGTTTTTGATCTTTTTAATTCAATAATTTTTAATTTTTTTTATAATCAACAATAATTTACATTGTTATTGATCATAAATAAAAATATTTTGTTAAAAATCATGTAACATGCAAAGATTTCTTTCTAATGCTCCATAAAAATGTTATATAATTAAACTAAGATTATATATAACCAGTAACCAGTAAATAGAGTATTCATTTAAGTTTATTATAGAATATGTTTATATAACTAACAGCATTAAAACTATAAAAGAGTTGAAAAATTGTCTACAAGAATTTAAGAAACCATAAATTAACTGTAATACAATGCCAAATGAATGTAATTAATACAGCTATTGAACAAAACTTTAATATATAAAATAAGATAATGAACTTTAAAAACTATTTCTGTCTAAATACATATATATTATTAATAACAAAATCTATTAAGCTATGTCTTTTGATGCTTAGATTAACCATTATATGTACTGTGATTTAATCATTAAGATGNACATTTACAAGTATGTACTGTATTTACAGTACAGTACATGCATTCGTAAATTTAGATTACTTTTTTCTGTACTCTATTAAAAACTAAAATTTATTTGTTTGTAAGCTTAAAATAGATTCTTATTAACCATATATTATTAAAAATGCATTAATAAATAAAATACAGAACTGGAAATAGTAATTTATGGTTTAGCCTAGTGACAAGTAGATTCGGAGACAAGTAAATTCGACTTACGTCGTTTTTCGACTTAAGTCGTTTTCCTGGAACCAATTACCGACGTAAGGCGAGGTATACCTGTATATATATGGAGAACAGTTATTTGTTCTTACTTATTTGTTCTGTAGGATATATATATATATATCCTACAGAACAAATAAGTGTGGCTTTACAGTAATTTTGAGAATATTACAAAAGCTTATCTTACATTAATGTTGTCTTTTAATTTAAAATTAAAAGAGTAATCTCTGAATGATTACGCATTTTAATTTTAATAAATAAATAAAATTGTTGATACTTAAATATTTTGAAATGACTTAATTTTTATATTTTATAAAACTACTAGTTCCTTTACTATTATTATTTTTTTATTGTATAAATATTTTAAACTTAAACATTTTCAATAAAGAATGAAAAATTAAAGATAAAATTATTTTTACATAATCACTGCAATATATAAGACATTTACAAATGTTTTTAAAATGACCAATGTGCAACCATATTTTATTTTAGTACTGTACAAAAATTAGAAGTAACAATGAAGATAAGTTACATTAACATTTTCATTCTCTAAAGTTTAAAGTCTAATATATTAAAAAATATTTGCATAATAAAATTTGTAAACATTTATCAATCAATCAAACTTTATTTAGCAGTAGGAAATTTTCCCTGTTGCTGGGGGAAAGTACATTTTTAAATTAGTGGGATACAAATTATTAAAAAAATTTTTTTTAACAGTACAATAGTTGTAATAGTTATTTTATAATCAATTAAATTTTAGTTTGTAAACACAATTATTAAATTTTATTCATAAATATTTTATTCAATTTCTTCTTATTCAGTTTATTTCAAATAATGAAATAAACTAAAATATGAAATTCTTTGAAGTAGTTGAAATGAAAAAAAATTTAACAGTATTTAAAAATTTTATATTTTATTTATAATAAAATAAAATATTACCTTGAGGCATACTTTCTATACAAGATGCAACCATTTGATAGAGAGCTGCAGTTGTACAGCCTTTATGCTTCTTAGCTGTTTAAATATTAAAAAAATGAGTCTTGTCTTTTGAATAAATATCTTATGAAATCATTGATATAATAAGATATTGAAATTTTCATTTAAGTAAGATAAATCAAGGCTAGAAAAGAAATTTCAAAAACTAGTACTTTTCAAAAATTCACAATTATTAAAATTTTAATTTTTTAGATTAAATTGAAAATTAAAATAGTTGTATGAATATTAAACAAAAAGTCATATTTTCAATGGATTGGTATATGTTTCAACATATTGGTATATATTTATTAATACTATTATCTTATTTTTCACAAATATTTATTTGAAATATAAACAAAATTCTTTATTTAAAAGTGCATTATTTATTCATATTGTTTACTGCCTGAAATTGGGACATATATAATTATATCTGAACCCAATTTCTAGAAAAATTTTATATCCACATAACAGATAAGTATTTATTTATAGAATGAAACAGCTATCTAAAAAACTTTCCATTAAAAGGGTTTAATGAAAATTTTTAATATCTTCATATCTGAGCTGATAACTATATGTTTGAGGAAGTTGGAGAAATAATTTTGTATAGATATATAATTTTATTTATATAAAACTGTCTGTAATGTTTTAAAACTAAATACACAAATATTTACATATATTAATAATTTTAAAAAATCAATTGAAATTATATAATATTAAAAAGAAAATTAACAAAAATAATCTGTTAAAGTAAAAAGTCATTATATTGGTAAATATTATATTAGTAGTCATTATACTGGTATATAATTTTTTTTTTATTGCAACAATTATTTTTCATTGTATTCAGCAAGATTATTAATCATTCTTATATCAAACATCATCTGTAATTATCTGTAAATATCAAACAATATCTGTAATTTTTATTATTTATTACATATGAAAATAATAATAAAATAACATTTTGAAGTTTGTGTTCCATTAAAATATTAAAAATGATAAGTTTCTTCAATTGTTCAATATCTGTTTACTGTGATAAACCCATTATATTATTTTATCTCAAATAATATAATGAATAGCTTTCAATGCCTAGAATCTGTTTTGCAGAGAGATGGAGATATTGATAGAGAGGTAATGGAAGAACTGAAGGCAAGCTAGTGGAATATTATGCAACAGAAGACTACCTATTAAGTTATGAAAATTTTATTTAAAAATACCATTGTAAGACCCGCTATTCTCTAAGGAACAGAGTGCTGGACTGTTAAAAGACAAACAAGTCATCAAGAAAGATGAAACATTTAAAATTTGTTCCAATTCTGAAAAAGATATGGAAAAGACAATTGTACTGCAAGCCTAATGAAGATAATCAGGCTGAAGTAAGATCAAAAGACCAAAAAAATTTTTACTTTTTCTAATTTACAATTTCCAAATTTTGAACTATATAGCTGCTTCCTGTATCTTTTTTGTATTCTATTAACTCAATGCAATTTTTGTACATGATCAAAAATCCGTGATAAGCAAGACTAAAATACTTGAGAACTTATGGATTAAATTACATTAGCATGTTATGGAAGGTTGATGATACCAGGAAAATTACCAAATGACCACTTACAGAATGACTACTTAGTAAGGTTTGCAATATCATGAAATGTGAAATAAGATGCAACTGATCTAATAACTGTTTAAAATATGACACATTATCAGTATTATCCTATGCTTATTAACAAAAAAGTATATTGAATTATAAGTAATAGTAATTTTTTAAAAAATGGGCAAAAAACTTTATAATTGTTATGCAATGAAATATGATATAGGAATATATTTCCCTATAAATCTGCTAAATTTATAAAGAATTGGCTAATGCATTTTATCTTTTAGTCAATATTGTAATCCATATTTATATATTTTTAATTAATTTTAATGCATATTTATATACTGTATCATCATTTTGAAATAATGAAATTATTTCTTTTGTGTATTTTAAAAACAAATCTCATTGACATCATTTCTTATATCAAAATAAAATTCACAATCTAATAGATTAATCTCAATACATTTTTGATTTAAAAACGTTAGGAAATATTTATAATAGGATTTTTGAATGCAGGAATAATTTATATGAATACAATGTCTATGTTGTTAAATCTGGAAGAAGTTATTTTAGGGAAACAAAGAAGGGTCAAATTTACTAAAGTTGTTTAATAAAAAAAGTTAAACATATTGAGGATTTTAATTACAATTGTAATAAAATAATCAGTTTCAATTTTAACATTGAAAAAACAAATGACATTAAAAAATAATTATCAGTATATTAAAATAAAAACAAAGCAAAAGTCATTAGAAAACAAATATTGAATGAAGTTCAAACATTAATATTTAAACAAAAAACTATTGTAAATTTAAATCTTCAGTTTAAAAAGTGAAATTTTAAACATGAAAACTGCACGTCAGGAAAATTTCAGAAAATAAATCAATGTATACATAGACACACTCCATTTTAGTGTAACTTAATGAAAATCATTAACATTAATCTGTATATAAAAAAATGGAATAAAAATTTGAATTTAATATTTAATTTTTAAAAGAAATCAACTTAAAGACACATTATACTATAATAATTTCAATTTTCACCTTTATCAGGACAAAGAACACTTGTAAGTTTTTGTTTCAAGTTACTTGGAAAGCTTGATTCTTTCTCCTTTTTCATGTTTTCTTTCTTTGCTAGTTGTTCCTCCTGTTTGGATATTTTGAAATATTACAAGTAAAATATGTAACTATTGATAATTGAGATTAGCTAATGTATTTCTAAAGTATAACAAAATATTAATTATATGCATAAATTTTTTTAATCTTTATTCCTTATTAATAAAATCCATAATCAATATTTTTGACCCAGGACGACTTAAAACTAGTATTATCATTCAGAATAGGAATTATATTTTTAGTTTTTATTTAAGAATTATGAAGCAAAGTGAACAAAATTAAAATAGCTAATAATGCAAAGATTTTAGTTAGCTAAGTAAATTTAATTCCATACTATACAATAAACTCAATTGGTTAGCTATAAAAAGATTAACAGTTTATAAAAGAAATCATAGATTGCATTAAACCTATATAAGAATACAACTTACTAAATAGATTTGTATAGTAGCATAAAAAAAGGGTCCTGAAACTTTAAATTAAATTTATGAAAACACTCTTACTAATCTGAATTAATTTTATTCTTTCATTAAATGTTCCAGACAAAAATAAAAAGAATGGATTAATTTGTAAAAACATTCAATTTGTATTCCTTTTTGAATGGCTCTTCTTTATAAATACAGCCCCAATAATCCAAAATGACCCTGTACAATAATTAGTTCTAATTAATTTAGAGTGTACTGTAATTGAATTTATACATTTTAGAATTACAGTCTATTGAAATAATTCTTATCACTATATAGAAAAGAACATTTCTTTGTTAATTGAGGTACAAATATATGGTAATTCACATATACAAGCTTCATTGAAGCTTTGAAATATGAAATTATATAAAACTTAAGAGCAATTTAATTTACAAATTTTACAGTAGCCTATATTTAACATTCTTAATCTACTTCAAATTAATTTTTATTCTTTCATATATAATATAATTATTATAAACCCAATATTTAGATCACATACAGTGAAAAAGTAAAGTAAAAAAAGTATGAAAAAGTAAATATAATATTTTATAACAATATTTCAATGAAAAACCAGCACTTTATGCTAAAAGTTTTTAAATATTTATTCTAGTAAACTACCTTTGTGAATTCTGATTTAGGAAAGTTATGGATACGTAAAGTAGACATGGAATTAGTCATTTTTTTCATTTCCTGAGTTATTAAATGCGGCTCAACAAAGGAGGACCTAGAAAAATGTATCCAATGAATAACACAGTTTTTAAAATTTTAACATATATATTTGTAATATAAATATTACTTAAAAACTTAATTATTTTCAAAGTTTATTCATATAAGTATACCTCACTAATATAGATACCAGTAGGCTAGTTAGGTTTCAGACCACAACCATAATATGAGTATTACTTTAAACAAATCAACCTTTTTTCACTCACCAATGCTTATAATTTAAAAGCCTAACAACATAATGATAATGTATAAATATGTGCATGTGCACTGGGCCTAAAACACTGAATGCAAAAGTGAAAATAATAATAAATTCCAAAAATCACTTTATAAGTAAGGCAAACACTGAAAATGCAATCATGAGTATAATTGAAAAGTGCCATATTAGTTAAATGCCTTAAAGTGAGGTATGACTAGGTTGCCAGATTTCTATGACTGGATTAAAGAATACTTAAAAATAATTGATGCTACCACTCTCCAATTTTCACTTTATCTCACCTGAAAAAAGTACAGCTAAATGATTCTTTAGTTAATAACAGTCTGTTGATAGTTTTTTTTAATTTTGATTTAAAAATTATAGTTTTTGTATTGACTATAAATATTTGAAAATTTTAGCTTAATTTAAAATTTAAAATATTTATCGATAAACCATATCTTTCTATGGAGAAGGATATAGATTGATATGCAAAGATGTATAAAGATTCTTCAATGGCTATTAAAAAATGAAAATAAGGGATAAATTATGTACTTTGTTTCAATAAGAGACAAGGACAGTTTAGCTAAAATAAAGGATTGTACTCTGAAATAAACTGTCTGGCAACCCTAGATATGACTGTAATGTTAAAATTTTGCTAAATTTTTTGTAATTCAAAATAGATATATGGTAAAAATAAAACCGTAAATATTTTTAGAATATTTCAATTATCATTTACATCAACTTTGTGATTTAAAAACAAAGATTAGAATGTAAATAGAACAGCTCTGTGAAACAAGACTTCAGTTAAAATTAACATCAAATAAAAATTAAACTCAATATTTGAGCTGGAAGAATATTCAGCTGTTTCATAAGATTAATGTTATCAATACATCAACTAACAGTAGTTTTTTTTTTCTGTNGGAAAAGTAAAATTATTATTGATTAATTTTTATTATAGTTGTTTCTAATAGGATTACATTGCATTATTACAAATTACTGTAAAAATTAATAAGTATTATTTATTTATATTTTGCTTAAAATATAAATAGTTTGTAGTCATTTCACGAATTTTTAAATTTTATATTTTTAATTTAATTTAATTTTTAAATAAGTTTCATAGTTTCATATGTTTTTAGTAACAAGTCTGACAGCAAATAACATTAGCATTTTATTTTAAATTTTAAAATTTATCACAGATTGATTTATAGTAAGATAGAGAATTGTATTTTACTGAGAAATATAATAGGATGTAAATGTTATATACTGGATCTTAAAATCTGATAAAATCATAAATCTCTGAAGTTTGTCATAAGATGGAATTTACACAAGTAATGTATAATTGTTTTGTTACTACTATTTTTGCATCATTTGCAATCATGTGTTACATTTATACCATAAGTTTTGATCTGTTCAAAAATGATTATACTAAAAATATTCAAGTTAAAACATTTTAATGAAATTAAAATAATTAAAAACAAAAAAATACATTTTTTAATGAAAAATTTAATTTTAAATCATGTAATAATTAAAATTATCCTATGTTTTTTTATACTCAAAGTATTATTTATTTTATGTGAAAATAAATTTAAAATTACTTTTGAAATTAAAAAAAATCAGAATTTCAGAGTTAAAAAAAAATTTTTAACTTTATATATTCGTACCTTGTCACCATTGGTATCATTGGACATTTTGGAACTGATAAACAGCAGGATGCAGACAATCCTACAGGCATATAGCCACTACAGAAAAATTCATGTCTGAGAATTTCATTAATACCAAGTCGATCTGAAGGAACAATTTGAAGCATCTCTCTAATAAGTGATTGAGCTGAGTCAGATACTGTTGACGGAATAGTATATCTGTTGCTAGTTATACGAGAATATGTTTCATTTAAAGTTGATGTTTCAAATGGTGGATGTCCTACTAACATTGCATACCTATAGTGAAAAATGTATAGTGTTATTCAGATTTCTGAACTCTAATTGAGAAAAGTCAAATTATTAAATAATTAACAATGATATTTGCAAACTGTATACTGTTAATAATAATGATTGTAGCCTTTTATTCTAATTAAGCTCAAAGTTGAAAGCAATTTATAAAAATTACTTTCAACTTTAATGTCTTAACATGTGAAAATAATTTTTGAGAAACTCAAACTTCCTTATACTATACTAAATATTTCTGCTGTATTTACAATAAAATTATCAAAAAGAAAGTGGTGCATTTTTATCATTGTTTAAATTTATTTTAAATAATTATTAAAAATTATTGCATATTAAAAGAATTTATTACAGATAATTCTAAAATGAAAAGATGATTTTCCTGTCATCAGTTTTTTGAAAAATATCTATTAATAATATTTTTCCAAATTGTATAATTGCTTATATAAATTTAGGAATTTGTATTAAAATCAAAATTAAAATCATGTAATATATGATTTAAATAATCAAATATTTAAATATACACTATAAAAGCAACAGTATATACAGAATAAATAAAAAATTTAAACATTAAAATATTTATTTTAAATCTTTGGATCAAAATAAAATTTTTCAAATTCACATCAAATTTTTTTATTCCTAATTCAATATTTTTATTCCTGATATCATCAAATGAGAATTTGAAACTTTTGTATTTCTTTTATTCTTCATTTCTAATGAATTTAAGCAGAATTCATATATAAACCGGATGAACGAGTTAGATGTCATCCCTGATTAAAAGGACGTAGCAGTCTACATCCTGTTTCTTAAAAATATATTTTTACTTGATAAAATATATTCATTTCTAATAAAAATTTGGCTTTCATTCTCACAAATAATTTTTTATAAAATGAAACACACATACATTATACAACCCATTGCCCATATATCAGCTTCAAAGCTATGACCTTTCATATTTAATACTTCTGGAGCAATATAATTTGGAGTCCCACATACAGTTCTGAAAATATAAATAAACTTAATATTAATAATGATAACAAATTATGTAAACATACGCTACATTAAATTACATTTTCATTACTATATTCCTTTAAATAAACTATCAAAAGAATGAAGGTATATTCTATAATATATTTTGATAATTTTAATAGTTATCTAAAATTTGCAAAGTTATGCCATGTCATTTTTTTAATAATAAAACAAAATTTTAAAATAATACACATTTTATGAAGAAAATTAAATTTTTATTTTCAGCATCTTATTTAATCAGTGTAAAATATAAGTATATTGTTTACTTATGTTCAATGTTTTTGTAAAGTTAAAAACTTCTTTAAATCCACATAAAAAAAAAAGCAAAATTTATTGTAAACTGGAAACTATAATTTTTTCTTGTCACAAATGTAAATTCTCTGACTTAAATTACATTACAGGAATTCTGCAAGTCAAACTTCATTAATTTGAAAAATACATTTTGTTTAAAACATCAATCAAAAACCTGTCTTTTATATCAATGTTCAAAATTTAATTTAATTGGATATTTGATATTTTAAATTAAATATTGAAAATATGTGGCATGTAAAAAGATGACTTACTAAATTAGAAAAGTTTAATTATTATTGATTAATTTTTATTATAGTTGTTTCTAATAGGATTACATTGCATTATTACAAATTACTGTAAAAATTAATAAGTATTATTTATTTATATTTTGCTTAAAATATAAATAGTTTGTAGTCATTTCACGAATTTTTAAATTTTATATTTTTAATTTAATTTAATTTTTAAATAAGTTTCATAGTTTCATATGTTTTTAGTAACAAGTCTGACAGCAAATAACATTAGCATTTTATTTTAAATTTTAAAATTTATCACAGATTGATTTATAGTAAGATAGAGAATTGTATTTTACTGAGAAATATAATAGGATGTAAATGTTATATACTGGATCTTAAAATCTGATAAAATCATAAATCTCTGAAGTTTGTCATAAGATGGAATTTACACAAGTAATGTATAATTGTTTTGTTACTACTATTTTTGCATCATTTGCAATCATGTGTTACATTTATACCATAAGTTTTGATCTGTTCAAAAATGATTATACTAAAAATATTCAAGTTAAAACATTTTAATGAAATTAAAATAATTAAAAACAAAAAAATACATTTTTTAATGAAAAATTTAATTTTAAATCATGTAATAATTAAAATTATATCATCAATATTTAAAAAATATAAAATGAAGTAAAAATTTAATTAAATTTACATTTTATTATTTCCATCTATTCCCACTCTTGCAGCCAATCCAAAATCTCCAATTTTCATTTCCATATCTTCTGATAAAAACATATTTCCAAGTTTCAAATCCCTATGAATTACACCTTGACTATGGATATATTGAACACCTTCTGCTAATTGTTGCATGTAATAACGTACTTCTGGTTCAGTCAGCACCTTTCGATTTTTTAAAACATGGACTAAAGACTGAAAAAAAATATATTTGAAATTTAATAAAAGCTCTAACTAATATCAGAAGCTTAAATGTAAATAATAACTGTCAAATTGTTTAAGATAAATGTAGATCAAGAAATTTGAAAGTAACTAAACTTTATACTGTATTATAACATTTGATAAGAGTTTAGATAACCAATACAATATAGATTTGATCAATATTGTTTAATTAGAAGTCTTTCATACTTTGAATTTTCCAATTGAACTGAATTTTTCAATTAACAGCTTTTCTGATCATCTAATCTAACTCAAGCAATTTACTGACTATTTCTTACATGTAAATCATACAAATATGTATGATTTATAAGTATTTTATGTATAGAAAATTTAGAAAACTATATAAAATATAACATACGATTAACAGTCCAAATTTAATGAAACAATTGAGAAAAAACAAATTTTGTAAGATCCTATAAATTATCCTTTTAAAAAGTAAAAAATAACTTGCTGTTATTTTTCTTAGAAATATATAAAAAAAACTAATACTGACCAGTTAATAATCATTTATTTATTATATATTTTTAATGTTTTCCACAAAAACTATAAATTGATTTTATATATATATAACCACCAAAGGCATTTATAAATCAATACTGTATACAGTATAAACATTAATTAATACTTTAGAACTTTATTCCCTGAAGTTTTTAGTAGTAAATGTAATTGCAAATGAAAACTTTCTTTTGTTTGTTCACACTTTTCCTTTTCTTGAAATCATCAATAAAAATAAATTAATTATGTAAAATTCTAACCAAGCTCCTTGGAGAAAAAGAAAGCAAGTTTTTGTATTGAATCAGTTTTTTTCTTTATCACCTTTTTAAAAACTAGCTTTTTATTTTTATTTCTTTTTATTGTTGAATGAGGCTTGAGTGTTTTTTTAATTAAAAGTCAATTTTCCAATTTAACTTCCATAAAGGAAAAAAAATTAAAAGAAAACTTATATGATTGAAGGGAAAAAGAAAAATCCTCTCAAAATGACAATTGTTCAATCCTATTTCTCCTAGTCAAGTTCAGTCAGATTTCAATTCCTACAATACCAATTTCATTTTTCTAAAAATAAATCTCTAAACTGCTTTTATCCTTTATAAATAGCACTTTTTTAAAAAAAATTAAATAAATGCTGAAAATCCAAAATAAACTGCTTAAAAATATTTTAAAGAATTTGAAAATTTTTAGGTTATTACTAAATTATTTTATTTTCACCACTTAAAAATGCAGTTTCTACACTCTTTGTTAGGTAAATTTTATGTTCTCATTTAAAATTGTTGCAATATTTTAATCTGTATTATCATCACTAATTATTATAAAATCAAAATATATTACAAATTTTCTAATTAATTTTAATTTCTGTTTATTAAAAAATAAAGAAAAGTTAAAACAACTTTTTTTTTTTGTCTCATTCTAATTTAATGCTATTATATTCTGGCAATAGAAAATCAACTAAATCATAACAATTTAAAATAAAATAATAATGTTTTGATAAAGACTGTCTAAAATTTGGAACATTCTTCTTTTTGTATAAATAAATTTAAATTATATAATTCAAAATATTTTAAAATAAAAATAATGTTCAATTTATTTCTTTATGTAGAAATTATTGCTGAATATAATGTTGGATATAATAAGTCTTACTGAGAAAGTATAAAGAAAAATTGATCCTGTATTGAGTAATACAAAAATTGAAAAATGTTTCATTATAAATGTATTTTGTAATAACTTGCTAGCATATATAATACTAGCAAATTATACTAGCAATATAATAAGTTATAAGCTGTTGTATTTAAGACAGTTACATTTAATACAACTATTAAAGTAAGTGCTAAAGTAACAGAATAGCTTATGATGTTAATAAAAATATAGATTTTAATATAAACTGTAGTTAAAACTGCTTGCTAAATAAAGATTTTTCATATCTGAAAGTTGTTATTAAATAAAGTATAACCAGAATTGGAAGGAAAGAATGTTTTCTAATGAATCACTATATATTTTAACATTTTATTTGAACCAGAAAAATACTGAATCAGATATAATTATTATAATTTTAGTAACTTTCATTCCAATTATAATTGACTTTTCCAAAACAAAATTTGTTTTGTAACACATTTAATTATACAAATATAGCAAATAATTGTATTTGTAAAATATTTTTCCTTGCTCGATAAATGCAAATTAACAATTGATTGTTGTATTTGTATATTAGACAGACTAGATCTATAAATTTAAAAATCAGATACTAAGGCAATATCAAACACATCGATCAGCCGAAATACAACAAAACGGCAAAAGTAGGACAAGGATCATCACGTGCTTTACCAATCGTTACAGTTCGTTAAACCATCACACGATGCCTTTCTAATCAATGAACTCTCACTCAACAGGAGAAACTAGGTATTTCGTCGTATTAAGTTAGTGTTTCTCATGCGTGATTTCGCGGAACATCATAAAGTAACCTAAATAAAAGTAAGAACAGCGCAAAAGTTCACAATATGGCGTGAATATTTTTCAACAATATCTAATAATACAGGCAGCAGCGCGTAAGATTTGCTCCATCTTTTATTTGATTACTTCGTCTTTTAAGTAACATTTATTATGTTTGTGTTAATTGCTTATTATTACAAAGCTGCATCATTGGTAAAGATAGTAACACGAGTAGCCTCCTGTACTTCAAAGAGGAACGTAGCAGGCATTCTTCTTGAACGAGGATTTAATTTCCTAAATACTTTACGCTTACATAAATTTCTCAACGATTCTAAAATTTCTGATTTCCGGAGGTTCTTTATTTAAAGCCTGTAGTCTTGAGCTGTATTGTTGTTATAAATTCAGCAGATACACAATTTTTTTTTTTTTACTTTTCCGGTTGTTATATATAACAGTCGGGAAAGTATGGCGATCGGTCAAAAAATTGATCCCCATTTTTTGATCGATTTTTACATCTTTGGACTCCAGAAACGTAGAGAAATGCAAAAAAATTCGGGGGGTAATTTCTTCTGTATGGATGTTGGTGTGTGGGGGGGGCATGGTTTTGTTCACCTTCTGAAGCTTAATTAATAATTCTTGTGTTTTTTGTGGAAAATTTCTGAAATTTTTCAGGGATGCTTGTTTATTAGGGAGATTATTCCTATTAAATTTTGGTGGTTAAAGGTACAGGGAATGGGAGATAAAGGGTCGTATCTCCAGTAGATCAGACTTAATGACGATTTTACTTATTAGCATTTGCAATTTTTTTTATAAAACCTATCCCTGCCCTGAAATTTAAACCTTTTGCCGTTTTATAATAATTTTTAATAATAAAATATCATAACAGATGATGCCACACACGCAGTTTTAAATGTTGCTGGGAAAGTTAGGCAACTCGTTGCTAGATATATTTTTCTTTTTAATGTTTAATATCGATCAAGAGGAAAATGAAAAATTAGTTGTAAAAATGAATATATTGGTTTTGAGTATTTAAAATAAAAAATATATACACATATTGTAAATTATTATTGTGGGAGAGAAGAGAAAAGCAAAGCAATCTTGTGACTTGTTAAATTGGACCCAGGTGCGGTCTGGTCATAAAATCGTTTACAAATGGCATGAAAACAGCAGCAATTAAACAAGTAAATAAGTGGGAGAATGGCCACCCACATTTGGGTCATAGCGGACGTAAAAAGGTTTCGCGACCACCTTTCTGATTGGTCGAAAGTTGTATCACAAAAAAACATTTAATTAGGGAGATCGGAGAAAAAGATGCGGAGGACAAGACTCAGAGCCGTAGCACATGGATTTGGAACTCGGCAAGCCAGCTGAGAATAGGGAGAGAGGTTACATTCCTCTAGGAAGAACGCTCAGGTACGGGTGAGGTCCGAGATCGGACGAAAAGTGCGGACAGAGCCTATCCAGGGTCCAGAAATTATCGAGGAGACATCCAATCCCCGATTATTCTAGTCTATCCTTGATCGTTAGTGTCAATCGGTACAGTGTGATGCCGGGTTAAGCTGTGAATATTAAATCGAGTTAAGTGTGAAGGTGTATTTACTATGAACTTACAGTACATTTCGAACATCTTGAGCCCTGCTTACTAAAGAAATCTGCTTGAGGAGACGGAGAATAGATAAACTTTCATATATTCTTTAGATTTCTTAATTTTATTATATTGCGTAAAACCACAACTTTTTAACTTTATTTTACACAAATACTTTCCATAATCCTTGAGAGAAATTTATTATTTTCTTTATTAATAATTTCCTAATGTCATTTTTTCTGAAACAATGCAAGCTCTGACGGTACAGTGGTGATGGTGCTGCTTTTAAACAATCAATTACCGTAGAAAGTTTTAATTTAGAGAGGTTTCGTTTGTTTAGATCAGGGCTTAAACTTTTTTCATTCACGACCCCGTTTATGATTTTTTTCGCCCCCCAAAAAAATATAAAATAAAGATATATACAAATTTGCAAAAACAATAATGGTGTACTACCACAGTTCACTCTTGTGTTACAATGGAACAGAGACAACTGAATGCACTAAAAATCAACAACACTACACTAGTTCATAACTACAATCGTCTCGCTGCAACAGAAGTGACACAAAGCGTAACTCACGAAACCCATGACACAAAGCGTGCCATTTTCAAACTATCACAAATTATTTTCAATATTTTGCATTAAAATCTCGTGACCCCAAATAGGGTCACAACCCATAGTTTAAGAAGCCCTGTTTTATATAATATTCACTTAGTTCACTAACTACAGTCAAACCTCTATATACGAAGTCACTAAATCCTGAAAAAATTCGCTTAGGGAAATTGTTATACAGAAATTAACTTTTTGGTAAATAAAGAATTATTTTAACGTAATTTTTTCGTTACTTTAAGTAATTTGAATTAATATAAACATAATATAAATGTAGTTTTTAATTTTAACCTAAGTAAGTTTACATTTATGATTGTGTTAAAATAACGCCCTCCCTCCCTTCCAGTGTGGGCGTCATTTATTGACAGCCCCTTATTAACAGTTCTTCAAATTCCAACTGGACGATTTACTAAATAAAGTAGAATCTCACTAACCTCAAAAATTAATCCAGCAGTTGTCAAAATGATCACCTTTCTAACGTTTTCGACATTCGTTAATTGTAAATCATGTATCTGTCAACAACGGCATTTCGACCTAATCTATCTCCCCCTTCTTTACAAACTGTAGCCATGTGGGAGGCAAATTATTACATGATGATTTTAAAAGCTAACGACCAGTATTTCTCACACCTGGGCTCCGATTTTACGAAGGGTTTACAGATTGATACCTGAAATTGAACCTAAATTCGAACTCCACCCAGAGGAAGTAATCGACTTGTAATGATCGATGATCCTTACAAATTAAAAAAAAAATTGTGGTGATCCATGGGACAGGAGACAAGTTGGCACTCGTCAAAATAGACAACTAATGTCACATAATCATCGGGGCGAATCAAATGCAAAGAGGACACCATGAATTACTTTTATAGCATGTCCATCGTCCCGTTAGAATTACTGCCATGGCAAAACGATGCGTATATACAGTATATAAATGAATCAGCCCACCTATGGCTGAGTGTATAAAAACCCCTGAACACTGGTGGTCGTGGGTCATCGAGCTGGCCACGTATTTTCCGTATTTCTTCAGGTAAGTAACACGTAAATAGGAGCCAGTTTCCCATGAAAGACGACCCAGGACGCATCCCCCTTCGGCAGATTGCCCATGTATCGTGTTGTCATATACTAATAATAAATCAAAAATTATTGGAACAAATTTGAGTAATTCAAAAAGTGATTTATAAAACCAGATATTTGAAATAGAAGCGATAGATTTTTGTACGGACTAAAGAGAAAGATTGTCCACTTTCCATTGTGTACTGCTTGAGAGGAAGAAGAAAAGAAATAAAAGAAAAAAAAATCAAATACGTCCATGGTCTTTGAACAATAGAGTTAAATCGACACTTTACAATAATTACAGTCATCTATCAAATTCAGAAATAAAATAAATTGATTACTTTCTAACAATTTCTGAATTCACAAAACAAACAATAGGGCTTTTGAGAACGTTAACTTTTAAAGAAAAATTCAAACAAGTTATTTTTTATGCAATTAATTTAGCAACTAAACAAATATTGTTAAGTATAATGATAAAATAATAGCAAGAACGACGGTAGGCAAAGAGCTATAGTGAAATTACCAAAGTTCATATCTCTGATAATACTATTTGTAGACGTTTGATGACAATAGATTTTCAACATAGCGTGATAACGTGTCACGATGTTCAAATAGAAAAAAAAGGCGAAATCATGAAAAAACTGCAAGAATAAAATATCTTATCCTTTAATTCTAACACTTTAAGCTCTTATTTAAAATTGTATGGTATGTCAGAAGTCAATGCGTTTGAATTTGCATAGGTAATGCATACATTATCAAATGGTCTGCTGCAATAGAGTTACATTCGTCAATGAAAAAAAAAACATGGTAATGTCGATGCTGCACTATTTCCTTTTGGAAATTAAAGCGTTAGAATTTATTGGAGGTGAATTTTATTTTTGAATACATATTTAAGTATTTAAAAAAACGTTTTAAATAGAAAAAAATTGATAAAAGTTATTTCATTTCTATTTTAGTTTCAGGATAGGACAGTATCCAAGTAAATAACTCCCTGATGAATTATTTTCTTTTTTTGCTATCAAAAACGTATGAATGGATTACTAGGTTTTTGTTGAATTCTTAAAATATTCACTAAATGTGCAAGAGGAAGAATAACGTAATGAGTTACAACCTGATCGTATTGTAAAAAACGAAATTTTATGAAACTAACTTGATATGTTTTTATTTCAATAAGAAAAATATCCCAAGAACTCGACAAATGCAGTGAAAATCTTGTTTCATTTTTCAACTTCTCATCTTCGCGAATAAACTTTTTTTTTATATTTGACAAATAGCCTATTAAAAGTAAAGAAAGAAATGCCTGCTTTCTGCCAATGAAAAATAATATTTCTGTGAAAAATTCCGTCACGAATTCAATTTTTATGAGGGAAAAAACTACCTTATTAAGCGTACACTTCAAATATCTTTCGAATGCCAACATTATTAACTAATATTTATTTTTAACATTAAATAAATAAAAATAAAGACGTTTAGTTATAATTTACTCATGTATAGAAATTAGCTAAAAAAAATTTTCGACAATTTAAAAGCAATTTAATTTCTGATGTCAAATTTCTCGGTCTACTGTATGTTTTCGTAGCTCGTGGATCCACGTGTGGAAAAACTGGCTTGAATACGGCTTTGTACTTATTGTACTGTCAAAAATTGAATTAAAATTTACTTGAAAATGAAATAATTGAATCTTAAAATTTTATAAACGGTAACATTTTCTTATAACCAAGAATGGTTGAAAAGTTACGTGAGAAGTAATCCACGTAGTAGGTTTACAGTTTAAATGCCTCTCTTGTGATGGCAGGAAGCCAATAACACACACTACTTTCCAGATTTATCATGTGTTTAACGAGTTCAGAAAACTTCCAGCAATAATATTTACGTCTGTTGCTTACCACTTCTCCAAATAAATCATACAACCATGATTTTCATTAAATATATAACAGCCATGTTTAATTTCTTCGATTGTGTTTACTCTATTGTTTTCAAATAATATTTCTTCTTGTATGAATTAAAAATAGTTATTTATTTACTGTTTTTTAAAAATTAAATAAGGTTTTCTATACCGAATCAACTGTTAATTTTCTTGTAGATTTAAAATAAATTCGATAAACTTTAGTTCAAAGATTAAGAAGAAAGGAGTTTGTACACGGACAAAGGAAATTTTCAAAGACGACGTGAAGAATTTACATGGCGTGTGTTAATTACATTTTTCCACCCCAGCTGGCGCTGTATGTTATAGGCCTTGGACAATACTTTCATCACGTACCTTGTAGAATTATCTTTCCTTTCAACGAGATTCGTAAAGGAACAGGGCAATTACCTTTATAGAAAAAAAAATAAACCTTACAAAAACAAAGCTTTCAGTTTCTATTTCAAGCCACTCGCTTCATTATTTCGGTGCTGTAGATAAAATAATGTTTATATCGATTTAATTTATAATAAAAAAAAAGTATACACTAACCTTCCTCGAACAATACTCGAGAATTATGTAAACATTTTCTTTATCTTCGAAGAAGTGGTGAAATTGGACGACATTTTTGTGAAGAAGCTTGCGATGAAGATCAATTTCACGTAGAATCTAAAATGAAAACATTGAAAAGTCTTTTATATTATTAAATTCTGAAGAAGTCTTTTAATATAAAAATTAAAATAAACATTTAAAGTAAATAGAAAAATTCTCGGCAATACATTTAAATTGTGTTTTAAATTGATTTCTAATTCTGGAATGCCTGGAGAAGAATGAGATGAAATCCTTGCTTTGTTTATAAGAAACAGTTTATTCACAGTCAATTAAAACTAATGCTTTTCTATGTAATGAATGACAAGCATAAATATCTAATGCTACTTTAAGAAAGAAAATTGATACGTCTTTTGTACTCTGAATAGTGAGATTAGAGTGTAAAATCCGGTTACATTTGAGAAACATTCACATTAAGATACACTTGATTTAAGTAAAAGAATTGAAGTTTCATTTGATTAGTTTTTGTTTACATTCCAGCTGCCATGGGATATATTCTAACGTGACTTAAGTGTGACTGAATCACACCCGTTTCGGTAACGTTACTTCACAAACCGGTCTTTTCTGCTTGGAGCAAAGGACCTGCAAACCCACTCCTTTCACTATTAACTCGTCCTTGGCCGACTATATCGTTCAATGCTGCTAGGTTAATAATCTTTTCATCCAGTACTACTACGTAAACAATGTAATGCCCGGTTACTTTACTATAATTGTGTTGAGCAGATGTAAAGAATCATTAACTTTCACGATGACTCCTTTCAAGATTGTGTCGTTAACTTCTTTAAAAGGTCTCTCGTAAATTAATCTTATTTTAATTTTTACGAGGAAATTCTGTCATTACAAAAAAGATTAATGGAAAGAATGGATAAGAAAAATATACAAAAATTTTCTTTTAATTTTATAAAATTAATTAATTCTCCATTTAACCTTACCTTTTCTTTTTGGTGAGGTTTAGTGAGCCGACTTTTAGGAATGATTTTTCCAGCATATACTTTATTTGTAGTCAGATCGGTTAGTTCATGGACCTTAGCAAAACCACCCTAAAAAAATAAAGATTTCTTTAAATAATTAAGGGAAAATTGAGTTATTAAATTTATTACACGTTTTTCCACTTAAATGAGTGTAAACACACAAAAAAATCTCTTTGTAATTAGAAACGAATGATGATATTCAAGTCTTTATTTAGGTTTTGTTTTTCTTACTTTGGGTGGACATTTTTATATACTGTTTTAAAATTTTGGGTGGTATTTGTTTCATAATAAGTTAGTCAGTATATAATTAATTCATAAAAACCTTGTTTTCGTCATTTTAAAAATAAAAAATATGGTGTTTACAAACGTGAACACGTTGGTAATTCTTATAAAAATCGAAAAGTAAGTTTTAAATGAGCGAAAATAAGGACAAAAATCAAATATTTGCTTGTTGTAATGATTTATATACGAGTTAATTGAACATAAGATGACACAATTTAATAGTGAATACAAAACAAAAGAAAAAAAGAAAGATTAAAATTTGAGTTATTGCAGATGCAGCCTAATAGGGACGAATCGAAGATAAAATGGAAAAATTCAACAATAAGAACATCCAATAAATAATATTGAATTTTGTTGGTTGATAACTCGTTTGTATGAAAAGAATTTGCAGAAAATAAAAATTTAACGGCTAAATCCGGAAAATTTAACAGTAAAGTAGCGAAACAAGAATTCGAAATTCGATCGAAACAAGAGAAAGTTCAATAAGTACTAAAGTAAAATGAAGAAAGAAAAAGAAAATTCAACAGCTAGGAGAACTTTTATGTTATTAAATTTGTAGTTTAGTATTAAATGATTGATTCGAAACTATGATTAAAAGTTATCCTTATAAGGAATATTCCGGATTGACAAGGGAATAAAATATAGTTCGATAACAAAAGGAAAAGACGAATCAATCCTAAGAAACTCTTATAAATTCCCATCCAATCTAAACTACTAACAGATTATAAATGAAAATATTTATTAAAGTAGGATCATAATCCAAAATAAACTTCCTTCATACTACCATAAAGATCGAAAAATCAACTTTAAATCATGTGCAAGTGAATTAACGTCTGGAATGCCAATACGTTAGTGACATGTCGACGCCACTACCTGATGGAGTTACATGACGAGGACACGGTCCGTGGCGCCGAGTGGAGATTCTCTGTTTGGCGCCCGACCACGGCTCCAACTTGACGCCCATTGCCGACTTCTATACCAATACCATTATCGGTACCACAATCTGATATAATTAAGAAATTATTTCATTTCTCCTGTCATTTTCCACACTTGTCCTAATGACGATTCTAGCTTTTTTACAATGACTTATACTCTGTCTGTAATAAATTTATAATAGGATCGATGCGTCTACTTAAGCATTAAAGTATAAAGAAGTAAGGACGTGACCTTTTCAACCCTGTCTTAATAAAGAACGGCTTATCTGACTCTTTGAAAGGAATTTAACTAGGATGTCTCGTTAGCATGCAAGCACAAATCTATCTAAATTTCAATTCATATCTAGGAAAAGACAAAAACGGGATAAGCCAAGTTATGATCAAAAATGTATAGGCTTATATTTTATAATTTCAGTTGACCACCCACGAATTTATTTTGAAATTCAAATACGACAAAAAAATATTCCGAATTTAACACGCGGTAATATTAGCTTAGTGTTGAAATAATTATAAATTTGAATGAATTTTTTCATTTTTCCAAGTCAGATTTAGTACTTTTCTGTGATTCAAACATAAAATCTCGTATATTTATACATAAAACTTTTATTTAGGTTTCTGCAACCACTTCATTGAAACTTCCTGTGGTGATAATGCACGTAAAGAGGACGAGTCGATCAATGATTATCGATAAGAAATATATTTTTAATATAATTTGAAAGTTTATTTAGAAGAAAATTCTATTTTCTCCCTTTTCTTTAAATTATACAAGAAAATTTTCTTCTATAATTTAAAGAAAAAAATAGTTATGGATCTGAAAATCTATAATGTTTTATTATTTAAAATAATCATTTTAAAGATTTTAAATTTAAGTTAACGAGTCTAAAATATTGAAAAAAAAAACAATTTTTAAATACATTTAACACTATTAGTTTCAAGAGTTTCATAACGTTAATTAAAGTGGATAATTTGCAATTAAAATATTTTATACATATTAAATACATAGATAAATATGCGACTTTATACCATAATATCTACATTTATATACAACAAGTAGTATAGGTTATATAACAGAAAAAAAGAGATCTCTATAAGCTTACAAATTGAAGTTAAAAAGAACGTACACCTTTACTGAATTATTAAGTAAAGAATTTTTATCTTATCTTAACAGAATTTAAAGTTAATGTGATATTAAATTTCCTGTTAAAATCAATTTATTAAATGTAAAATAATACAAAAATCATGTCAAGTAGCGTTTAAAGTATCGATAGTTAACATAATTTGTCTAGTGGATTAGAGAATTCTATGTAAATTGATAACACCATATATCGACGAATCTTAGTAAAAAGAGTAAAAATAAAATAGAGTTTAAATATTTTGCATTTCAAAAAGAAATAATCGGTTTGTGGATTTTACTTTAAAAATATATTACAACTTAAGGCGATGATCATTATGAAGTTTACCTACAAAACGGAGGAGGAGAAGAGTCAAGATTTTATAGATTACACGAAATAAATTTTAAATAAACATAATATATTCTCGTTTAATTAAAATCACCATATCATCAAATAGATCAAACTTCTAATTTTGAAATTTAATTTATAACTTAAACATGATCCTAAATTGTGCATTAGCCTAATTACACTTAACTATACATATCTGGAAGAAGGAAGAAGGAGGGAAAAAAGATGATTTTTATTATATTAAATTTAAAAGAAAGGGAATTTTAAAAGTGAATGTTAGAAGTTCTATCGGTGAACGCCTAGCTGTTATCAGAATGCTAAATCGCATTAATGTAGCCCTGCGGCTGTCGGCCCATCTGCACTATTACTATTAAAATCATGTAGCGGAACGAATTGGCTACATCCAAATGCTTCCGTTGTATGTAGCATGCAATCGAGCACAAAAGCCTTTAAATAGAAGCCTTACAGCAGGTATTTATTAGTAATAACTCGAACCGAGTACAAATAAAACGCCTTCGTCCGGGTTTGTTTTAACACACCTTATGACCTCCAATTCTGCCTCCTCCTCTTATTATATCGCTTTCCTATTACATTGTATCTCTTCCCCTTTATGCCAATTGTTTACATCAAATTACATTACATAATTCATTTAATGTAAACAATAAAACTATTGATAAAAGATTTATATTTTAAGAGAAATTACTCGTCAAACATGATAGATTGAAAGAATTATTTTACATTATACGTAATGTATAATTTACATTAATTATTTTATGTCCAATCCATAAATGTAATTGAGTGTGTTCCAAATTCATAAATAATAATGTACATCATGGGAAAAAAAACCTTAAAGTTTATTTTTTTTTTATCTAGGCCAAAGTAAAGATTCTAGAATCTTAATTTTTCAGGACAGCACTCACTCACTCTTAGCGTAAGCATTTATTATCCTTAAATTGACATGATCAAAACTGTCACAGTTGTTGGCGTTTTTCTTTACTGTCAATAAAGCGTTAGAATTCTTAGTGCGATTCACATGTCAACGGTGGTAAACATTTTTCCCGAAAGAACGTTAAATCCACAAACAGAATGACGAGAGAAGGGGACAAATTTCTTTCCCTTCCTCCTTTAACAAAAATATTCGAGAGGTCTTTCTGGTAGAAATGGAATTGCCGAGCCAATGGATAATTAGCAGGAAGATGGGGGAACAAGAATGACGTCTGGACTTGGTCCATGCTTGGAGCGTTTTCCCAGGACCCTGTTTTTCACCTTATTCCGAGACCCTTCGAAGAGAAACTTCAAGGTGACACAATCCGACAACATCGTCCCTCTTGGCACCTCATTCATGTCAAGATTGTCCTTCCCTCATGCTAGAATAGGGCGGGCGAATGAGGTAATTCATCAATGATATTTTCAAACGTAATTGCTACGTGGATTGCACTCGAAAAATTATCAAATCCGAGTTAATGTAACTTTGAATAGTTAAAAAATATATATTTTTCCACATTTAATTTGCAATTTAATTAAAAGAAACATCGAATTAAAGGAAATGAAGTAATTCGTATTCCGTTAAATGTTATCATCTTAAAAGTGCGACTGAACAACACTGACCGTGTCTTATCGATTCTTCATTCACTTGTTGAATTAAAGATCTTGTCAGCAACATCTTCGAATCGCGACAATTTATATAAAGTTGGGCGATAAGGAACTTAAGAAAAAGGGAGAAATGTATGTACCAGACTATAAATCATCATTTCAGTTTCTTAATAATAAATCAAATGCTTAGACGAGAAGAGAAAAATGAAATTCGTTTTATACTTTCACTTAGAGAGAGAGGAAAAAAACATATTACGTGATGAAAATTCGTAATTTTCACATTATTGAAAAATTCTAAGACGTTCATTTTATGTATTCCCCCCCTCGAAGAGATGGTGCTTTTGAGAATTTTATAACATTCCTACAGCGGATCCAGTTTTATTTTCGTCGAAAGTGTTGAATTTCTTGGCCGTGAAGAAATCGTACAGTCAGAGAAATGGACCAAAGTTTCGTCACGTGAAGAGACTCCGGAAATTTTTTCCTCTTCCAGATATAAAGTACTATCCACCTTGTTACTAAAAAAACATATATATCTTTCTAGTTTTTATGGCGAAGAAGAAGAAGAAGAAGAAGAAAACTCTTCATTTTTCCACATAAAACCATAGCGATAAAAAAAAAACTTTTTAAGTGTTACCACAGGAGAAAAGAAGAAAAAGAAAAATTGCAAACCGAAAAATTCACACTAATAACAGTTTATTAAGTCAATGAGTAGCTTCTTCAATTGAAGTCTTGTTAAGTAGTATTAGAATATCTTGTGACACTTGACAATGTCATTACCCGACGTTAACAAGGAACACGT